AATTATTCTGAGTCACTCAGAGTCCGATTCTTTCACAAGTTTCTGCAATGCAAAGCCTGTACTCATCTAACCTGTGGGGCTTCGGGTTTGTGCACTGCGTGTACACAGTCATCTCCAGCAGGCACTTATTCCTTGGCTACCCAATGTCAAGCAATGCACTAGCCACAGAGGCATACACAGGACAAGGAGACACGGAGCCATTCCACGCTTCAAATGACACGCTAGATTAATTAGGTAAATATGCATTAGGCAAATGTTTCATTTAAATATGGGCTGGATAAATAAATAAGGACAGGCAGGAGTCTAGAACTTACTGGGTATTTGAGCTTGGACAAGAGTCTGTTCTCAGGCTCACAAGAATACAGTGCGGATAAACATTAACTCTTATGTAATACTTTAACCTATTCCACTTAAAATAGAGCTAATCCACCGAGGGAACAACAGTTTTGTTCTAGTTATTCATTTAACCTTCATTCCTGGTGAAGGGAAAGGGCCAGTGAATGCTACCTAGCGAGGGGTGGTTAACAGAAGACAGGAATGCATGAAACTTGGGAAGCTGGAAAAATAAAACAACAGCCTGGATCAAAATTCTTCAAAATGATTTTCCTCCAAGCTATTTAAATGATGGCAGAAGCAAAAACTTAGAACATGGATCAGAACTGCTTCCTTGCCAGGCCAGCAGCTGCAACTTAGTTAGCAACTGATGTGTTTATAAATGACTAGTCTCAACTGACAGGCCTTCCGAGGGAGGGGTGGGTACCCAGGAGCTTTAAAAGGATGCAGGCGAGGTTGTGAGGTCACAGACCTTGACTGTGGTGATGGCTAACAAATGTGTTCGATAAAACTTGAGTAACTGTCACTATGGAGGGTAAATTTCACTGTATGTACATTATTCAGTGGCCTCCGCATCGGTAGCTGTGTGTGTGTGTGTGTGTGGTTTTCACCATGTATAGTTAATACCAAAGTAAAAAATACTAAAATGAAAACTCCTCCCCCCTCAATTTTAAATAAGTTTATCATACTATATTGTCACAGCTATTGTGACTGTTACTCTTTCATTGTGCTTACTTTATAAATTAACTTTTATCAAAGGTATGTATGTATAAGAAAAAAACACTCTCTATATAGTGTAGGTTTCAGACATCCACATCTGTGAGGTCTTAGAATGTATAATCCCTGATAAAGGGGATTACTGTATCTCTAAAAAAAATGGGAAAAGTTACAGGAATAAGGTTTAATGGCCTAGGAAGTTAAAAAGAATTTTAAAAAATCATGAGGGCCTGCTGTGTTAACCTAGTGGCTAAAGCCCTCCCCTTGCATGCACTGGGATCCCATACGGGCGCTGGCTCGTGTCCTGGCTGCTCCATTTCCCATCTAGCTCCCTGCTTGTGGCCTGGGAAAGCAGTAGGAGACAGCCCAAAGCCTTGGGACCCTGCACCCGCGTGGGAGACCTGGAAGAGGCTCTGGGATCCTGGCTTCAGATTGGCTCAGCTCTGGCCATTGCAGCCGCTTTGGAGTGAATCCACAGAAGATCTCTCTCCTCTTCCTCTCTCTCTCTCTCTCTCTCTCTCTCTCTCTCTCTGTCTCTCCTCCTCTGTTATATCTGACTATGCAATAAAAATAAATCTTTAAAGAAAAAACAATATAAGGCTGTAGGCAACTGCCTAGGTTGCCTTGTACCCAGGCACGTGTTACACCACTGACAGAATAGCAGCCAGCAGCTGGCGGGCATTCCTGGCCTGATTAATGCCACATTTGTGTGACCTATTCTAGTGTACTGGCCTAGGAAACTTACTCTCTATTCTTACTTTTTTTTTTTAATTTTCCTTAAAGTATGTGGAGAAGGAAGGGAATTCTGGGAAGGAATATACCATCCCAGCTCCCAGGTGGGGTGAGGGAGATAGACTGCCCAGGGAAGGGGCTTGGAAAGCTACTGGGTTGGGAGCAGAGGAGGCAGGCTTGACAGGGAAGAAATGACTTCTAGGGTCTTCCACAGACAGGTCAATGCACTCACAAGTAGGCAAGGGAGCTGAAATGGAGCAGTTTAGAAGGGGAAGCCAGGGGGCATGTCTGATCAGGCCGAGGCATCCACTCTCGCATAAGACCTAGGCTGGGCTAAATACCATCAACAGCTGTCCGCTGGCTCCTGCACAGGCTGGGACTGGTGGCATGTCATGCTGGGCTAGGCTGCAGTATCCACAGAACAGGGGTGGTCACATCAGGCTGGGCCACAGCACCCACTGGAACATGAGAAGACAGGATCAGGCAGCAGATTCCCGAGGAGACCCGTGGGCTTGCATCGGTGGGACTGCAGCACACTCTAGATTTTGTGCAGAACACGGAATGGTGGTGGGTTGAGCTAGTCTGGACCATAGAACTCACATATGAGCACAGGTGATAGATTGAACCTAACCCCGCACTGGCTGGCTCACACAAGGATCAAGTCCAAAGTCACCTCAGGCAACGTTGCCTGGGGGATTCTCCAACTGGAATGCTGCACTCAGACGATGGACACCCCAAAAAATCACAGGATTTTCTGTGTGCCCTGATCTTGGAGTGCATGTTTTGGGATAAGGCCTCCTCAGCTGCTGATACCTGTGCAGTGGACAGCATGCCCACATGCACACGGGGCACAGGACAGCCTGCTCTTCTAAGCCAGCAGGGGACACGAACGGCTTTGTCAGAGGATGGAGAGCAGTCAGGCTGGGCAATTCTCCCGGCCCAGCTATGCAGCATGTTCCTGGGTCTGTGGATGCACTAAGGTGGACTTTGTGAGTCAATGGACCTTGGAAAGATCTTCTCAACCCTGGAGCCATGAAGCCAACAACTTCTCAGAACCATTAAAACCACTCCAGTAACACCCTAGAAACACTCTTCCCCACACTAAGATCCCCAAGGCGTCATGAAATGACCATCACCATTCTCCCCTATCCCTGTGTACTGATGTAGTTCGACAGCAAGAAGTGGCCTCCTCTCCCTCTCCTCCCCTGTGGACACAGGAGAAAAAAAAAAAGGAAACATTTTTCCTACCTTTTTCAGTACCTGAATCTCCCCATCCTAGTGAGGGTAATATTAAAGAATGTAAGCAATATTAAAGAATAAAAATTTAATTGTGAGGTAAAAGATCCTAACTAATCAAATGCACATACACAGTCTCCTTTCTCTAAATTCATTATTTTAGTTTATTTTCCCAGGCAGGTCTGAGTCTTGCTTATGAAGTAGGATCTTCCTTCTCCCTCCAGGTAACCTTACCCTTCCAAATCTGAGAGAGCCGGCTGCATTCATTAAGCCAGGCTTCATGCTAAATGTTCTCCCTTCCTAGTGTGACAGCCCTGGCGAGGACGTGGAGGCTGAGAAGCGAGACGGAGAGGACACTCTGGGCCGCGCACCGGCACAACCCACTCGGAAAGCCCGGGCTGGGGAGTGTTTGGTCCACTCCCGATGCCTGCACTCTCATTGGCAGCACCTGGCTTAAGTCCTAGCTTCCTTCTTGTGTATAACCTGGGAGGCAGGGAAGCAAGGCTCTTGTAATTGAGTCCTCCAGGACGGGATTCCCCGCACACAAGCCCACTGTGGGCTTTACGGCCCCAGTTTCCCATCTTGGACCACAACTTAAACTCAGGAAAAGCAACCGCTGTCATCCAGGCCCAAGGTCAGTCACTGCCAAACATTTTTAGTTTTATAATCTCTTTATACTGAACTATTCCTGAGGTCATCTTTTATTCATGTGGGCTATCATGTATCAATACTAGAAGTTGATTTACTTTTCAAAGGGGAGGAGGATACCTTTCACCCTTATAAAATAACAGAAACAGATACTGTGTCAAGGGTAGTACTGCTTTAAGTTCTTGCAACACTCTGTTAAGTCAGGCTCAGTGACAGTGCAGAAGCCACACGCAGCCAGCCATGCATCCAGCCATGCAGCCAGCCGTGCAACTAGCCACGCAGCCTGGGCCAATCCACAGTACAGTCCCGACACAAGAAAAGTAAAGAGGTGAATACTCTGATGGTTCTGGGCATTCCAGCCAGCTCTGGTTCTGACACGCACTGGTCCAGCACTGGCTCTCCCATCAGAGACCCCCTTCTCCAACTTGGACTTCCGTCAGTGTCTGTCTCTCTCACACTGAGTAGCTGGAATGATTCACACCCAGAAACCACAGGTAAAATGAGTATGTTTGCATTTCCATTCTTTTATATGTTGAATGGTAAATATGTTACACGCAAATTCTAGCAATATAAAAATATTAAGTTATTATCTAGTTTTACAACTAACTTTTTTTTAAAACTACCTTAATTTTCAAGGTTAACTAGAAAATGCAAAAACAAACTTAATCTCTTAGGATACATAATCTCTTAGGAAGTCTTCATCTTACTTAAAGCAACAACTGAAACTTACTAAAACCTACAGCAACCTGTACATGTATTATTTAAACTAAAAATATAATTTCTTTCTATCTTTAGTTAGGCATTACCACGAGCACCCCAAATCCAAGAACGATGCCACTGCTACTCAAGATTTTGAATGAAGTCATTTCCATCAATAAGAAAATGAAACTGTATAAATCACAAAGCATTACTTTCATTCTTAACCTTCCCAGGATACTGCCTCTAAGCCCCTGCTTCTCAGATACTTACACATCTATCTCTACAAGAGTCCAGCGTTTTTAAGAGATCCTTTCACCTGGATCCACAAGATTGGATTATAAGACAAGTACATTGAAACTTACTAATTCTTAGGGCTCCGGAGCTAAGCTTATTTTAATTCCACAAATGACATAAGAAAACTGTTAAGAGTACGATTAAGCTGTTCTTTACCACACATCCTGAGAGGCAAGCACAAAGATCACCACTGTCCTTTACATTTCACTCTTCCTAAATGCAGTCGCTGTATACCTATTCTCTCTACACACTCATCAGAAGACCAACAGTTCAATTCTTAATTTAGTCTTCAAAGAAATGCAAAGCTGCTTTTCGAATAAATATCCATGCATTTATCTTACCTCTGTTTCTGTACATTGTGAATATCCCAATTTACCTGTAAGAAAAATACAAAATGTTACTTTCAGAGGATTTTATTAATGAATAAATACATTTGAACCTTAATATATATATTATATATATATCCCTCAATTTCACTATATCTATCTACCTAACCAAACTTAAATCTGTAAGTGGGACTTTCCAGAACATTTGGTCATTCTAGTAAACAGGCCCATGAGAAAATATTAAATAAAGAAAAAGATGGAAGAACATCCTTCGGTAGAACATCCTTAGGTAGGATAAGTGTTAAAACATTTATGCAAATGATGTACAAATTCAACATTAAGTAATCACTTTTAAAGTCTTGCTTTGTAAAAATACCTTAAAATGAGCCTGGCTGTGCTCTAGCAAGCAAAGCTGCCAGCTGAGATGCTGACATTCCATACAGCCACCAGCTGAGTCCTGGTTGCTCCATTTCCAATCCAGCTCCCCGCTAACGGACCTGGGAAAGCAGTGGAGGCCAGTACTTGAGCACCTGCACCCATGTGGGAGACCTACAAGAAGCTTTCCGCTCCTGGCTTTGGTCCTAGCCAATTTTTTTTTCCTTTTTAAATATCAGAGATTGTGAAGGTGAGTGGAGGATTGGAGCAGGATGGGGGTGCAGGTGAAGAACATTTTATGTGCTGGTTCACCCCCAACTGCCTGCAGCAAGGTGAAAACGAGAGCCAGAAACTCAACTAAGGCCTCTCATGCAAGTGTCAGGAACTCAGTAACCCGAGCCATCGCTGCTGCGTGCTAGGCCCATGTCAGCCAGGAGCTGGACAGGGATATCAAACGGACACGGGTGTTTTACCTTGTACCCCCTAACCATCAGGCTCAACAACCATGCTTGTGGTTGTTTCAATGCTTAACTAAGCTTTACATACATCATACCTATAGCAACACAATAAAAATGAAAAAACAGCTTTTGTAAGCTTCCCAATTCTTAAAATAACACCACAAAAATGATTTTTAAAAATGGGGTTTTTTTATGCCTCCCAATTCCTAAATGGAAACAAAATTAAAACACAATTTCTCATCAGATAATGGTCCCAGTAAGAAACATCGACTGAAATGCAGGCTAAAAAAAGCAAGAGATCTTGCATTCTGTGAGTTAAAAATTCTATGTAAGCATAAAGCCCATACAGGCATATATAGAATGAGGTTAATGAGTTTTTTAATGACTTATGGTTGATATTCATTATTATATAAATGTATTATATGGTTGTAAGTTCTATAATTTATTTTTATTCAAATGTTTACATTATTAATGACTTGAGGAAATGAATTATACTCAATTTAATGAAGTGATAATTTCTTTAACTTAAAACCTGCTGGACGGGCCCCACTCACAATCACAGCCTGCCTCTCAGCACCCCTTTCTGCTGCGTATGGAAGATACGGAGGCAGGGAAGGAAGGTTACCAAGACAAACCACCGTACAGAGTAACTCCTCGGGAGCAGACAGACCTACATCCTCAGTAGGCTGTCCGTGTAAGGCAAAGACAATTACAAGAAAAACACTGACAGTTTTACACAGGATCATTCTTGACAGTAGGTTGGTGAGAATTCTGAAACAGAGCAAGTGAGTGAACATACTGCCACTGGGAGTGGTGACTTACATACAGAGAGAGGGACTGTTATAAACCTACCAGGGGGCTGGAGAGGAAGAGCCCTGTGCGGAGGAACTGGTATTATAAGAACTTCAAAAACTCATGTGTTTTCTAGCTCTGTGCACCAGAAGGAGAACCCCAGTTTGCAAAAGCACAGCTAAACCCATTCTCCCTCAGCGGCGTCAGGACACACTGGGAAAACGGCCGGCTTCAGGGATGGGAGAGGGAAGTTACTATAATAGAAAGCAATGCAGTGTTTCAAGGATGACTTATTAAAAGAACACGGGAGTCACTTCATATGCCTGAAATTGCTTTGCTATAAGAATATTGGAAAATGTCTGCAGGGTGGGTATTGAGCCTGCTTGAGGAGTCCACGCTGACGCACTAGGTTCGATTCCCAGCTTGAGCTCCTAACTCCAGCCACGTGCCAATCCAGACCTTTGTGAAGCAGCAGTGATACTTCAAGTAGCTTGGTCCTTGCCACCTACATGAGAAATCTGGATGAAGTTCCCACCTCCTGGTTTCTGTTCAGCCCCAACCCCTGTGGATCTGAGGAGTTCTCTGTGTCTCTTCCTTCCTGCCTCCCTCTGGCTCCTAAATCTGAAAGGCGGGAGGAAAAAAAATAAAAGAGAAAAGAAGAAAGAGAACCTGCTCGGGAGAGTGTACAGCTCATCTTTGTTGCCCAAGTTCAACTGGTGAGTAAGGAAAAGATCATGAGTATAGCAGACTGGAAAACCTACACACCCTCGCCTGGATACAGACCTGAAAACCAGAAAATCCCAACTGCATGACATGAGAGCTTAAAGGAACCTCAGAAGTGATCCAGCCTGAGTAGTCAGATTCTTACACATCTGAGCAGAGTCCTGATTTCTCGTCAGGCACGCTGGTATGCCTTCCTTAGGCCACTCCTCCATTTTCACTTCCAGGAGCTGGTGGGAGGGGACTGCAGGGAAACTCTTCTGCTTCCATCATTTCTGTGACATCTGAGGCAATGCACTCCACAGTTTAACAACTTTCCTAAATTGGAAACTGCCAGTATAACACTGAGGGACTTTGACAGTTTGGAGCCTTACTAAGACTTGAGATGATCATATTCATTCAACTGATACTAAATTTATTAGATTGATTTTATGGAGGGATGGATTTCACCGTGTGATGATGCAAAATTGAAGGTAATATCTGAAACAGTATTTACGTATTACATTTTCAAAATATCAGAAAAGTACTTACATACCAGGAAGAAGGGGCAACTGGCACAAAAAAATGGAAGTTCAGCTCAGTGTTTCTCAAAACGAATGGGCATTTCAATAACGTGGTGAAAGTTACTTCTGCGTTTTCAATGCTATCATTTTAAAAGAGGCCCTCTGTTCTTAAGGTCTATTAGAAGAGCCCATTCATGTCCCAATAAATTTTAAAAAAAAGTCTTGGGCCCAGCGCGGTGGCACAGTGGTTAGGGTCCTCGCCTTGCACACCCGGGATCCCATATGGGCGCCGGTTCTAGTCCCGGCAGCCCCGCTTCCCTTCCAGCTCCCTGCCTGTGGCCGGGAAGGCAGTCGAGGACGGCCCAAGGCTTTGGGACCCTGCACCCGCATGGGAGACCCGGAAGAGGCTCCTGGCTTCGGATCGGCATAGTATCGGCTGTGGTGCTCACTTGGGGAGTGAATCATTGGACAGAAGATCTTCCTCTCTGTCTCTCCTCTTTGTATATCCACCTTTCCAATGAAAAAATAATAAAAATAAATCTTTAAAAAAAAAGTCTTCCTATCAAGTGTGTTTAACTAAGAAAGTGATGCTGCTAAAAAATATTTGTCACAAAGAACGCACCAGGACAGGCCCTTGGTGCAGCAAATTAGTGTGTTCCTTGGGTTGGCCAAAAACAGTATCAGAGTGCCAGTTTATGTTACAGCACCCAGGCTTCTGAACCAACTTCCTGCTGATCAATCCTGAGCTCCACCACTCTTGTGGAATATCCAGAGTTCTGGGCTCAGCTTGGCCAGGCCCCCAGGGAACGGGCCATCAGTAGGACAATCTCTCTTTTACTTTTATTCTCTCCCCCTCTCTTGCTAGCTCACTCTCTGCCTTTTCAAATAAACAAAATAACCATTAAAAAGACCAAGAAGAACTAAGACAACACTGTCACCTGAAGCTGACATTTTGGGTGTTGAGTGCTGGTGATCTGTCCATCTCTAGGTCTGTCCAGGAAGTTACAGGGCAGAACCTCTCCTAGTTGGTTCACTGAAACGCCTTCTTTGCCGTTTTAGAATGAAACATGACATGGCGCATGCTCTGCTGACCTCAACAGAATCACAAATTCTGATGAACTACATAACTGTGTCAGAAATAAAGGCACAGTTTCAGAAATTTCCATATGGCTGTTAGCACACATAACCAAAGACGCAAATGAGTTCAATCAGCAAAAGGCAGATCATTTCCACCCAAAATGACACAATTCCTGAAATTTTATGGTGATTAAAAAATAAAAAAAGATTTTACTTATCTGAAAGGCACAGTTATACAGAGAGGAAGATAGAGGGGCCTCTGTCTTCTAATTCACTCCCCAAGGGGAGGCACAACGGTCCCGGGTGGGCCAGGTCACAGCCAGGATTTATTCCCTACCTCCCTTGTGGGTGCAGGAGCCCAAGAACATAGGCCATCTTCTGCTGCCTTGCCAGGCACATTAAGCAGGGAGTTGGATAAGAGGTGGAACAGCTGGAACAAACCGGCATTCAACAAACATTCAATATAAACAACACAATTTTTTTTTCCTAATCTTTTGCTATGTGACTAAACCATGGGCAAATTTTAGGTTCACTGGATCATTGAAAGTATTGACTTTTAGGGTCAGCATTGTGGTGTAACAGGCTAAGTGTCCACCTGCGATGGCTCTCCCACATGGAAGACCCAGGAAAAGCCCCTGGCTCCTGGCTCCAGCCCAAACCAATCTTGGCAGTCGCAACCATCTGGGGAGTAAACCAGTAAATGAAAATCTCTCTCTCTCTCCCCTCTTTTATTTGTAACATTGCCTTTCAAATAAACAAATCGGGGTCAGTGCCATGATGTGGTAGGTTAAACCTCCACCTGCAACGCTGGTATCCCATATGGGTGACAGTTTGGGTCCCGCTGCTTCATTCCTTTTCCAACTCCCTGTTAATGTGCCTGGCAAAGCAGCAAAACATGGCCCAAATCCTTAGACCCCTGCCCCATGTGAGAGACACTGAAGAATATCCAGGTTTCTGGCTTCAGGCCACTCCAGTCATTGTGTCCATTTGGGGAAGTGAACAAGCAGGCGAAAAATCTCTTTCTCTAATCTATCTTTCAAGGGTCAGTGCAGAGGTTTAACTGGCTAATTTTCCACCCATTCATTCTGGCATCCCGTATGGTGCTGGTTTGTGTCCTGACTGCTC